ACTGAAAAGCAGGTGCAGCGCTTCTCATCTGGGTGTCCTGACACCCAGAGCGAAGCTCCCCCCTCTATACTGAAAAGACAGGTGCAGGCTTCTTATCTGGTGTCCTGATGCCCAGGCGAAGCTCCACCTTCAGACTGAAAGCCAGGAGCAGCCTTCTCATCTGGTGTCCTGAACCCAGGTGAAGCTCCACCTTCAGACTGAAAGCCTGGTGCAGGATTCTCATCTGGTGTCCTGACACCCAGGTGAAACTCCACCTTCAGACTGTAAGGGATGTGCAGGCTTCTCATCTGGTGTCCTGACACCCAGGCAAAGCTCCACCTGCAGACGTGAAGCGAGATTCTGGCTTCTCATCTGGTGTCCTGATGTCTAGGTGAAGCTCCACATTCAGACTGAAATCCAGATTCAGGCTTCTCATCTGGTGTCCTGACACCCAGACGATTTTCCCCTTCAGACTGAAAGCCAGGTGCAGGCTTCTCATCTGGTGTCCTGACACCCTGGTAAAGCTCCACCTCCAGACGTGAAGCCAGGTGTAGGCTTCTCATCTGGTGTTCTGACACCCTGGCAAAGCTCCACCTCCAAATTTGAAGCCAGGTGCAGGATTCTCATATGGTGTCATGATACCCAGGCGAAGCGCTAATTTCAGACGTATTGCAAGATGCAGACTTCTCATCTGGTGTCCTGACACCAAGGCGAAGCTCCCCGTTCAAACTGAAAGCGAGGTGCAGGCTTCTCATCTTTTTTCCCTACACCCAGGTCAGCTCCACTTTCAGACTGAAAGCCAGGAGCAGGCTTCTCATCTGCTGTCCTGACACCCAGGCGAAGCTCCACCTCCAGATGTGAAGGATGTTCAGGCTTCTAATCTGGTGTCCTGAAGCCCAAGTGAAGCTCCACCTTCAGACTGAAAGCCAGGTGCAGGCTTCTCATCTGGTGTCCTGACACCCAGTCGAAGCTCCCCCTTTAGACTGAAAGCGAGGTGCAGGCTTCTCATCAGTTATCCTGATGCACAACAGAACCTCCACCTTCATACTGAGAGCGAAGTGCATTTTTCTCATCTGGTGTCCTGATGCCCACTAGAAGCTCCACCTTCAGAATGAAACCCAGGAGCAGGCTTCTCATGCGGTGTCCTGACACCCAGACATAGTTCCACATTCAGACTGAAAGCCAGGTGCAGGCTTATAATCTGGTGTCCTGATGCACAAGAGAAACTCCACCTACAGACTGAAAGGCAGATGGCTTCTCATCTGTTGTCCTGACACCCAGGTGAAGCTCCGCCTTCAGTCACGATGCGAGGTGCTGGCTTCTCATGGTGTCCTGACACCCAAGCGAAGCTTCCCCTTCAGACTGAAAGCACGGTTCAGGCTTCTCATCAGTTATCCTGATGCCCAACAGAAACTCCACCTTCATACTGAAAGCAAAGTGCAGGCTTGTCATCTGGTGTCCTGATGCCCACTAGAAGCTCCACCTTCAGACTGAAAGCCAGGTGCAGGCTTTGAATCTGGTGTCCTAACACCAAGGTGAATCTCCACCTTCAGACTGAAAGCCAGGTGCTGCCTTCTCATCTGGTGTCCTGACACCAAGGCAAAGCTCCACCTTCAGAGTGAAAGACAGGTGCAGGCTTCTCATCTGGTGTCATGACACCCAGGTGAAGCTCCACCTTCAGACGTGATGCGAGGTGCAGGCTTCTCATCTGGTGTCATGACACCCAGGCGAAGCTCCACCTTCAGACATGATGCGAAGTGCAGGCTTCTCATCTGGTGTCCTGACACCCAGGCGAAGCTCCACCTTCAGACTGAAAGCCAGATGCAGGTTTCTCATCTGGTTTCCTGACACCCAGGTGAAGCTCCACCTTTATAGGTGATGCGAGGTGCAGGCTTCTCATCTGGTGTCCTGAACCCAGGCGAAGCTCCCCCTTCAGACTGAAAGCAAGGTGCAGGCTTCTCCTCTGCTGTCCTGTCACCCAGGGGAAGCTCCACCTTCAGACGTGATGCAAGGTACAGGCTTCTCATCTGGTGTCGTGACACCCTGGCGATACTACACCTGCAGACGTGAAGCGAGGTGCAGGCTTCTCATCTGTTGTGCTGACACCCAGCCGAGCTCCACATTCAGACTGAAAGCCAGGTGCCGGCTTCTAATCTGGTGTCCTGATGCCCAGGCAAAGCTCAACATTCAGACTAAATTTAGGTGGAGGCTTCTCATCTGGTGTCCTGACACCCAGGTGAATCTCCACCTCCAGACGTGAAGGAGGTTCAGGCTTTTCATCTGGAGTCCTGACACCCAGGTGAAGCTCCCCCTTCAGACTGAAAGCAAGGTGCAGGCTTCTAATCTGGTGTCCTGACACCCAGGCGAAGCTCCCCCTTCAGACGTGATGTGAGGTGTAGGTTTCTCAGATGGTGTCCTGACACCCATGCGAAGCTCCACCTTCAGAGTGAAAGCCAGGTGCAGGCTTCTCATCTGGTGTCCTTACACTTAGGTGACGTTCCATCTTCAGACTGAAAGCCAGGTGCAGGCTTCTCATCTGGTGTGCTGACAGCCAGCTGAGCTCCACATTCAGACTGAAAGCCAGGTGCCGGTTTCTAATCTGGTGTCCTGATGCCCAAGAGAAGCTCCACCTTCAGACTGAAAGCCAGGTGCAGGCTTCTCATCTGGTGTCCTGACATCCATTCGAAGCTCCCTATTCAGACTGAAAGCCAGGTGCAGGCTTCTCATTGGTGTACAGACACCCAGGTGAACTCCAGCTTCAGACTGAAAGCCAGGTGCAGGCTTCTCATCTGGTGTCCTGACACCCAGGGAAGCTCCACGTTCACACTGAAAGCCAGGTGCAGGCTTCTCATTTGGTGTCCTGATGCTCAAGAGAAGCTCCACCTTCAGGCTGAAAGCCAGGTGTAGGCTTCTCATCTGGTGTTCTGACACCCATGCGAAGCTCCCCCTTGACTGAAAGCCAGAAGCAGGCTTCTCAGCTGGTGTCCTGACACCCAGGGGAACCTCCACCTTCAGACTGAAAGCAAGGTGCAGGCTTCTCAGCTGGTGTCCTGATGCCCAAGAGAAGCTCCACCTTCAGGTGAAAGCCAAGTGCAGGTTTCTCAACTGGTGTCCTGACACCCAGGTGAAGCTCCCCCTTCAGACTGAAAGCGAGGTGCAGGCTTCTCAGCTGGTGTCCTGACACCCAGGGGAACCTCCACTTTCAGACTGAAAGCCAGGTGCAGGCTTCTCAGCTGGTGTCCTGATGCCCAAGAGAAGCTCCACCTTCAGGTGAAAGCCAGGTGCAGGTTTCTCAACTGGTGTCCTGACACCCAGGCGAAGCTCCCCCTTCAGACTGAAAGCGAGGTGCAGGCTTCTCAGCTGGTGTCCTGACGCCCAGGCGAAGCTCCACCTTCAGACTGAAAGCCATGTGCAGGCTTCTCATCTCGTGTCCTGACACCCAGGCGAAGCTCCCTTTGACTGAAAGCGAGATCAGGCTTCTCATCTGGTGTCCTGTCACCCAGGCGTAGCTCCATCTTCAGACGTGATGCGATGTGCTGGCTTCTCATCTGGTGTCGTTACACCCAGGCGATACTCCACCTACAGACGTGAAGCGAGTTTCTGGCTTCTAATCTGGTGTCCTGATGCCAAGTGAAGCTCCACCTTCAGACTGAAAGCAGATGCAGGCTTCTCATCTGGTGTGCTGACACCCAGCCGAACTCCACATTCAGACTGAAAGCGAGGTGCCGGCTTCTAATCTGGTGTCCTGATGCCCAAGAGAAGCTCAACATTCAGACTAAATTCCAGGTACAGGCTTCTCATCTGGTGTCCTGACACCCAGGTGAATCTCCACCTTCAGACGTGAAGGAGGTTCATGCTTCTAACCTGGCGTCCTGATGCCCAAGTGAAGCTCCACCTTCAGACTGAAAGCCAGGTGCAAGCTTGTCATCTGGTGTCCTGACACCCAGGCGAAGCTCCACCTTCAGAGTGAAATCAGGTGCAGGCTTCTCATCTGGTGTCCCTATGCCCATGCGAAGCTCCTCCTTCAGATGTGATGTGAGGTGCAGGCTTCTTATCTGGTGTCCTGACACCCAGGCGAAGCTCCTCCTTCAAACTGAAAGCGAGGTACGGGCTTCTCACCTGGTGTCCTGACACCCAGGCGAAGCTCCACCTTCATACTGAAAGCCAGGTGCAGGCTTCTCATCTGGTGTCCTGATGCCCAGTCGAAGCTCCACCTTCAGACATGATGGGATGTGCAGGCTTCTCATCTGGTGTCCTGACAACAGCCGAAGCTCCACCTTCAGAAGTAGCATTGTGACTGGGTTTTTCACAAAGTAATCACAGTGCATAGATTCTATTTTCTTTTACTTATTTTTGTATTTGAACAGCACAGTTATAGAGAAGCCAAGATGAGAGAGAGAGAGAGAGGGAGAGAGGGAGAGAGAAGTGTTCCATCTGCTGGTCCACTCTCCAAAGGTACAACTGCAGACTCAGCACTCCTCATCCTCATCTGTAGACTTTGCAGCCTGGACTCTAAGGAGGCAGCCGATTGGGGTTTTCAGAGGCCGGGCTGAAGAGTCCAGAGAGCAGGCAGCAACTCCCTGCCTCCACTCTGCTCCTCTGGCTGCTGTCACTTGTTCAGTCATCTTGGCTGTGTGCGGCCGTCTGGCCTGCTGAGATGAGGTGGTCTCTAGAGCCAGATGCATGGACCAAGAGTTAGGCCTGAGCCCGGGGAGAAGCTGGATGGGGCTGGCCGAGGGAGGAGGTCCTGCTGGGAAGAAGGTGGAGAGGCTTCTCCATGTCTCCAAGCACTAGATCCCCGCATTGTTCCCTAGCAGTTTTTCTGGCAATGAGGCGCCATGACCTCCATGTGCCAAGTCAAAGAGCAGACGTCTTACCTGTGATTTCCTGGCTTCTTTTGGTAGAGTAGGTGTTTCTGGAGCTGCGAAATTGGGCTGAGAGGTATGCCCATGAGGCGCTGTGGTTGATTTTATCTCCAGAAAGCAGGGAGGGGCTTCTTGGGCAACATTTCTCCTTGGAAAGGCCTGAATCAGAGAACTACAGCTGATGGTTGAGGCAGAGAGGAGGGCAGGGAGAAAGGGCAGAGAGCAGGAGAGGGCAGCAGCAGAGAGCTACCTGGAGGGAGCCCCGTCACCACCAGCAGCCTCGGCCCAGCAGGGGCCTAGAGTTAGGGTCACTGTGTGGCAGAGACTGGATTCCTGGAAGAACACTGCCATGCTCCCTGATTTTGGTGCCTGTTCCTTCTGCCTGCTGTGGCTGCCGGAGGTCAGAGCCATTGCTGAGGTCTAGGGAGAACCAGGGCCTCATGTCCATGGAGGTCGTAGCCCCCTTCCTTTGAGCTTTGGCCACCTGAAAAGATGCCACATGTCCCCAAGCCTGGGCAAGCCATTCCCACAACCCCTGTGGTTCCCAGCATGTGTGACTGTCACTCTGACTGCTACATCTTCCTACCTGCTCTGCGCCCTTGTGTCCATGGCAGCGAGGCACCTCCTCTCCTGCATGGCCCCCTAACCCCCTGCTCTGTTCCCTGACAGGCGCCCAAAGACCGCGCTGCTCCTGCACCACCCTCTGCTGATGCCACCGTGTTACTTGGCGGTTTAGCGCCTCCTGGCGCTAGTCTAACTAGCATGGCACCAACTCAGGTTTGCCTCCGTCCTTGTGCCTGCTACCCCTGTATGCTTGCACCATCTCCCTTCCCAGAGGACTGCGCCTGCTGTGCCTTCTCGTCTCCTTTCTTCCAGCAGCTTGGTTCCCAGTGCCAGGCACCCTTCCCAGAGGACTGCGCCTGCTGTGCCTTCTCTTCTTTCTTCCCGCAGCTTGGTTCCCAATGCGAGGCACCCTTCCTGGCACTGGGGTGGGGGAGGCCAAGATGGGGCTTTCTCTTGAGCTTGTGGCAGTGTCAGGTTGCTGGAAGGAACTGGGCTCCTGCCACCCCTGGGTGGTTCTTACTGGAAATCAGGTGATCACTCTCTTTCTTCTCCCTCAGATCCATGATGCTGACCATGGCCCTGTCCTCACAGATGAGATCAAGTGAGTGTCTTCCTGTGCGGGCAGCAGTCCCTAAGCCGTGGGAGTGAGGGCAGGCCACGGCCCAAGGACCTCTTTTGCATCAAGCCCCTGCACTCCTGACCTCTATGTGCCTGTCCCTAGGACATTGTCCTCCACAGAGAGCCTGCATCAACCTGCTTGGCAGCTCAATGGTCTTGTCTCTGAGGTACCCCAGACACTGGGACTCAGGAAGGGAGGAGAGAGAGGAAAGGACAGAAATGGAGGCTGGGATTCCTGAGAGATGGGGAGATCCTGGGAGAGACTGACCTGCTGGGCCGTGTTGGGCAGGCTGGGTGATGGCTTCTTCTTGGAAGCCATACAGATGAAGGACGTGGCCATGAGAACAGTGACCATGTATCTCAGCGCAGGAAGCACAGGGAGAGCATCACTTGGGAATGGAGGGGGACGGTGATGAGTGTTAGGAAACTGGCGCAGTTGGCTGCATGGCCCAGCTACCTGAGCCAGGCTCCACCCCCATCCTAATGGGATTGGCTGCTCCTGCTTCCCTGCCCGCCCTCAGGCAAAGTTTTAAAAGGGCCTGTTCCTGAACACGTGCTCTCTTGCCCCTTCTCTCCTGCTCTCTCTCTCTCAGTTCCTCTCTCCAGCCTCCTCCTCTGGGCTCTTGGCTCAGCTCTCCTCTCTCCTCTCCTCTGCTTTATCTTCTCTCCTTGCTAGCTCTTCTCGTCTCTGTCTCTCTCTCTTACAGTCTCCCTCCCTTTTTTCCTTTGCCGCTCCTTCACTCCAGTCTGTAGGTTGTTCCCCAATAAACCCTTTCCCTTACTCCGGTGTCCGGTGTGCTTTGCGACAGCTAACATTGAGATATAACAGTGAGACCCAGGAGAAGCTGGCATAGAGGGTGAGGAGAGGAAGAGGCCAAGCTGGGCAGAGGAGTTGCCAGGTGGAGGTGGGGGGGAGAGGTAGTCCGAGGGTAGGGACTTGGCGGTGGAGGATGTAGCATCTCCATGAGAGCTCTTGTCTCTTCTAGTCAACGTCCTACATCAATGGAGAGGGCCTCACATCTTCCTACATGAAGGATCTGGAGGTGAGTGGCTCTGCAGGGCCAGCCCCCCTCTTCTCCCACAGCTGGGGCTGAGTGCCCTGCTGCCAGCTGAGATAGCCCGTGCCACCCCCACCAGCCCTACTGACTGCTCTCTCTACCTCTCCTCAAACCCTCCTGCAACTCCTCCTCTCTGCATGCACCTCAGAGCCAGTACCAAGAGCTGGCAGTAGCCCTGGACTCCAGCTATCTAACAAACAAACAATTCAGTAACACCATAGAGGAATTGGTAAGAGCCCAGTGGGGTCCCCTGATTCCATGCTGCCCACCCTGGGCTTCTGTTTCCCCATGGGCTCTGAAGAAAGGGGCTGGGGGCCCCCTGGTGCTGAGGGAGAGTGGGGTGCTGGGTGGGCCAGGTCTCAGCTGGAGGGACCCCAGAACATGGAGCATGCAGCATGGCTCTCATCCTGTTGCTACCCTCTCCACCTCCTCTCTTTTCCAGACACCCCTGCTTGCACCCTGGCCACACAGCCCTGGGATTGTGGCCTCTTGTTCAGTGCTGGCCATGAGCCTCATGTCCCCACCCTGACTCAGGCCCTGACCTGAACTTTGAGTTTGGACAAGCGCCTCTCCACCCTGGGCTTGAGTTTCCCAAGGAGGTGGAAATGGCAGTTGTCAAAAGTCTCTTTTAGCTCTAAGAATCCAAGATTTCCAGGCTCCCTGGGACGTCAACCTCAGGGAGAGAAGGGATCTTACCTGTGCTTTTCATTCCTGTATCCCCGCTGTTAAGAGCAGCCCCAACCCCTATGTAGCACGTGCTGAACTGTCAAACGATGTGCACACCCCTGTAAATCCAAACCTAGTGGAAAGCCCATCTTTTCTCACATTCCGTTTCTGGAGGCTCACCTTACTGTCCCCTAAGAAGAATCCTGATTCAGATGCGGTTCATAGCTGTGAGCAAAAACCAGCAAAGACCCACATGCTCTTTCCTTGGGAGCCTCGGGACAGGTCCTGTGCCCATAGGGTCTGAGAATGTGCCAATCCCACTCTGGCCCCCTGCCCACCCCTTCTTGCTCTGGGAGTGGAGTAGAGGGGACATCCTTAGTCACCTTCCTTTCTTTGACTCTCCCCACAGAAACAACAGAACCAAGAAACTATGGAGCAAGTGGAAAAAGTAATGTGATTTCTGTGTCTGCTCATGGCACGGCTGCTGGGTCTACACCCCACCCCATCCCCCTCCAGGGTCCCTGAGATCTGATTTAGCTTTTCTGTGTTTGCAGCACACCAAGGAGCTGACCAAAGAGCGAGATGCTCTGAAACTGCTGTTATACAAGAACAAGTAAGAAGGGGAAGGCGGTGGGGAGGAGTCTGGGGGACCTTAGTACAGGTGATGAGGGGAGGGGTGCCGGGGAGCATGAGGAGGAAGTGGCTGTACAGGCTGGGACGTGTGCAGAGCCAAGCTCTGGTCCCAGCTGTGCCACCAGCTCATGCGATGGCCTCAGGCAGCTCAGGTCCTGTCTCTGGCCTGCCACAGGAGTGACCTGATTATTGGGGACCCCCCCCCCAACACCAAGGTTCTTGGCAGGTGCAGCAAAAAGATTGGTTGGTCACCAAAGTGGTGCTCTCTGTTTGCTCATTCCTCTCACCACAGCAAAAACAATGAGGACCTGAAGCAGCAGAACTCTGAGCTCTGAGAGAGGCTTGGAGTCCTCATGACTGAAAAGAAGACCCTGCAGCTGGGCATGGAGGAGCTGCAGAAGAAGCTGGAAATGTCTGAGCTGCTGCTGCAACAAGTAAGAGGCTGCAGCCCATGGAGCCCCAGCCCTAGCCCGCGGGGGCCACCATCCCCAGGGACTGTCAGGGAGGCCCTCAGCCAAGAGATGGAAATTCTGAATCCTTATTCTGGTCCTGCCCTAGAATCCTCCAGAAATTGCTAGCATTCTGCACAGAGCCCCTGCCTAGATCTACACAATCAGAATCTCAGTGATACAGCTTTTCAAAAATGTGTATTTAAGCATCTCAGTTTCATTGGAAAGGCAGAGGCAGACAGACAGAGATGGAGGGAGATCTTCCATCCACTAGTTCATTTTCCAAATGCCTTCAACAGCCAGGGCTGAAGCCAGGAGATTGAAACTCAATCCAGACCTCCTGTGTGGGTGTCAGGATCCCAGGAGGCCGTCCCCTGCTGCTTCCTAAGTTGCACAGTACAGCAAGTGCACCTGCTGTGGCCTGCAGCCAGAGGTGGCTGTGTGTTTGGGTTTTGGGGGCAGCATCGGTTTAGAGGGAGGCAGTGGCCCCTGCTCATGGCTCTTTTCCCTGTGCTCTGGGCAGCTCTGCACACTGAGGGAGGAGAAGGAGCACAGCCTGAGTCAGGTGCGGGAGCTGGAGACCACCGTGGCCGAGCTCAAGAGCCAGATGGGTAAGCAGGGGAAGAGGTGGCCTGGGAGCAGGATAGGTGTCAGGTGCCCCGGTGAGGGGTGTTGTGGCAGAGGGAAGCAGGTCTGTGCCAGTGGATGGCAAGTCTTGTCATCTCTCTGAGCCTCGGTGACCTCATCTGTAAATAGGGGTGGCATACCCACTGTCCACCATGCACGGTCAAGCACTCTGTGTCCTGGCTTGGAAGGGTAATGACCATCTGAATATGGAAAGTTATTAGCCAAGAAGCCAGCACCGGGGTGGGGGCAAGCAGTTGGCCTGAGGAGCTAAGGACCAAGCAGGAGCTTTTTGAAAACCCAGAGGCTGGGGCCCCTGATGGCTGCTTCCTTTCTCAGCTGAGCCTCCCACCCCAGAGTCCCCAACTTCCCCCGCGGGGCTGTCGGAGGTGGAACAGCAGCTGCAGGCGCAGGCTGAGCAGCTGCAGAAGGAGCTGGAGAGCCTGGCGGGGCAGCTGCAGGCCCAGGTGCAGGACAACGCAGGCCTGAGTCGCATGAACCAGCAGCAGGAACAGTGGCTGCTACAGCTGGAGTGGGAGGTGGAGCTGTGGGGCAACCAGGCCGAGGAACGCACACAGAGCGACCACGTGACCATCAGCCGCGCGCTCCTGCAGAACCGGGAGCTCAAGGAGCAGCTGGCCGAGCTGCAGGATGACTTCGTGAGACTGGTGTGTTCGGCCTCCCTGGGCAAGGCCTCTGGTACAAAACACTTCCCTCTGGGCCTTCACTTCCCCCCCACCAAAGGGGATGGTGATGACCTAGGCAGGCGCCCTGTGAGCCAGGACCCTGCTCAAATGTCTGTCGGAGGAGAGGGGCTGAGTTTCCAGCCCTCCCGGCACTGTGGGAGGTGGGCACCTGGTGCTGGGATCCAGATGCAGCCACTTTGGGTGGCAATGGATTGCTTCTCTCTGTGCAGAGCAATGACAACATGCGGCTCACCCTCTTGCTGCAGGCAGAGCAGGAAACTCGGCCAGCTGCAGGAGAAGCTGGGGGAGCTGAAGGAAACGGTAATGCTCAGCCCAACTGTGAAGGACTGGGCCATGGAGACAAGTCTCTGGGAAGGGCAGTGCTAGGCCCAGGAGGGAGGCCGCTCCAGTCTGGAGTGACAGGTGACCTCCATGTCGACTGTCCTGTGACTCTTAGAGCTGGTAGCCCCGGGCTCCTCCCGGGTCTAGACGTCATTGTCCCACGAGAGGCGTGTCACCCAGCTCCACTGGTCACTACACAAAGGCTACCCTTTGCTAAGCCTCAGATTCCTGACAAAGGAACTTAGCATTTTTTCCTTATACAGGTGTTGAGGATGAGCTGAGATTGTGCGGGTAAAGTATTAGGCACGAGTGTTCCCCTAACAGCTGATGCCTTCCCTCTCGTGTGTGGCCTCAAGTTAAAGTGATGGGAAAGAACGGGATGAGGTGTGAGGCTGGGTGCAGGAGACACGGGGCTCTGTGCCACTCCCGTGCAACCAGTGGAATCGGTTAGCAACCCCCACCTGCCCTCATGCTCCCCCCACCCCCCTTGGTCTTCTGCAGATGGAGCTGAAGAGCCAGGAGGCTCAGGGTCTGCACCAACAGCACGACCAGTGCCTGTTCCACCTGCAGCAGCACGTGGCCACCTACACACAGCTGCACTCTGAGAAGAAGGCGCTACACAAGCAGAACCCTACTGCGCAGCAGCTCAGGAAGCAGCCACAGGAGATGCAGAACCCCCAGGAGCACCCAGGCCTGGGCACCAACCACTGCATCCCCTTCTTCTACCGGGCTGACAAGCATGACGACATTATCGTATAACACCAGATGCCATCAGCCTGGGGAGCCCCAACCCCATCCTTGCCACTCCACCCCTGCTAGCCACCCTATCCCCTGCCGTTCCTTCCCAGTTCCCTTCCCTCCCTAGCCAGAACCCCTGATGGGGAGAGAAAGGCCTCTTTAGGCTGCCTCTCTGGAGGACCCTGGGGGCTCCTGGGGCCTCCTCATTTCCAGCTCCATCCTCAGAGGCCGTGACCAACACAGGCAGCATTTGTGTGGCCCCCAGAACAGCCAAGACCAGGGGGTGCTCATCCACTTGGGCAAGTCAGCCAGGCAGTTTTCATCGCCCCTCTTGGGGCTAACTGTCAGCCTGGCCAGCATAATCTGGCCGGGAACATCACGTGGGGGCATCAGCAGGCACAGACATGAGGGCATCAGGGCGAGGAGGGCATCTGAGTGAGGGTCATTGCTGGGCGGGGGCACCCAGGCAAGGGCATCACTGGGCAGGGGTCACTTCTGGGGCAGGGGCATCATCATGGGCAAGGGTCACTTCCAGGCCAGGGGCATCATGGGTAAGGGTCATTTCTGGGCCAGGGCATCATGGGTAAGGGTATATGGGCAAGGAGGGCACAATAGGATGAGGGTCATCTCTGGGCGAGGGCAGTCCCTTATTCAGGGAGGCTCCTGGTCCCAAATCGCAGGATGGCCTGGGCAAGCAGAGGCTAACTGCAGGCTGGGTGCTTACCACAGATGGCACTCACGGTAGGCCAGGCGTGGTCCAGCTCTTCACTCCATGCCTGTGCCCCCAGGCAGGCCAGCTGGGAGGCATGGTCAACAGCCCTCAAAGGGTCGGCTGGGGCAGGCGATGCAGGGGCGCCTGTCCCCTTACTAAGAGGCACACCAGCCAGGCAGGGCTGAGGCAGGCATTCGGGGGACTCCCTTTTCTTTGGAGGCACTTTGAGGCAGGGCAGTAGGCAGCATTCTGTCAGGCCCTAGAACAGTTTGGGCTAACTCTAGGCCTGATGAGGGGAAGAGGCTGCCTCCAGTGGGCCTCCCCACCCCCACCCCATGTACATATTGTACATGTGTAACATTTTGTATATTCTGGGGGTAGGGCCTCCCCTGTATCATAGCTGAGGCTGGAGCTCGCAAATGAGGAGGAGGTCGTAATAATTATTTGGGGCTGGGAAACTTATTTATTGACAGTCTATGGCCCAGGAAAGAGGCGGAGACAGGGTTGTGGCACCCTGGTGATGTGGCTCCTGTTATTATCTTGAAATAAACAAATTGAGCCATACTGCTTGGCCCCGTGTGTGGCAACTTTGTCGCAGGGCCCAGAGTCTGCTGTGCTGCGGGTGGGCACTGCACAGGGCAGCAGGGCCTGTCAGCAGTGGGCAGCCTCTGTGCTGTGCTGAGCGTTCAGTGGGATGAAGAAGCCTCTTCCAGGCTGCCCTCCTTACACTGCGACTCCGGGGGCACTGCCAGGTGTGTGTGTGTGTGTGTGTGTATGAGTATTTATAGATATTTATAGAACAGGGCAGGAGCAGGACCACAGAGGGGCACAAATTTTCACCAAGGTCATGCCTGGAGGTGTCAGCTCACCACATAACAGAAAGTCATAGATGAAGGGGAGGCTTTGGGGCTGAGGGCCACTGTCAAGTCACAGAGCAGGTGTCTGGGCAGGCTTGGAAAGGGAGGTCTCCAAGGAAGAGGAGAGATCTGGTTAGAGGTTGAAGGGGAGCCTGGGACACTCTGGACAGGACAGCCTTGCCTGACCCAATCGTCTGGCAGTGGGAGAGAGAGCAGAGAGAACAGCGGAGAGAGAGGAGGGAGACAGGTGATAAGCCAGGCCACGGCACTGGTGGGCAGGGCGGGGATGGGAAGCAGCAGGAGGTGGGCATGTGGGTGAGCTTTCTGGAAAAGGCCATGGACAGGAAGGAGAAGGAAGATGGGAGGAGGAGCTGGAGTGGGTGACCAGTTTCCGGGGAGTCAGGGTGGAGGCTGGAGAGGGCCTCCCCTGCCACTCATGCCACCTCTCACACAGCACCCAGGCAGCACACCCACAGTCCTGACACAAGCCTCGTCCTCTCAGACTTCCCTCCTCCCTGATGGCCCTGCCTTTGGACCCACTGGCCAGGGCCAGCACTAGCCTGGGAGGCTCACGTGGCAGCCAGCAGGCCTGATGGAGAAAGACAGGAGGAAGAACCCTGCTTGAACCAGGAGTGCACAGCTAAAACAGATGGCTGGAGGGGGCGCTGGAGGCCCCTCGGGTACTCAAAAAGCCCAGGAGTCCTCTGAGGGGACCCTGGGGAGCCAGGGCCAGCAGGCGGCCATAAACTCAAAAATCTAAGAGGGGAGCCTCAGCTGCTCGGGGGGCTGCAGGTCGTGGAGGCGAGGTGGGACCCTCCCTGATGGGGAAAAGCAGAAGAGGGGGAGAGTCAGAGGCCAGCGAAGAGTGGCAGGTGGGGCCCTGGGCCAACTCTGCAGTCCAGCCAGGCGGAACTCAGAGTAGCTGACCTGTCCTGGCTAAGGGGCTTCATCCGGGGCTGAGGACCCCACCTTCAGCCAGTAGCAGGTGTGACAACGCCCAGGAGGGAGGCAGGAGGCTGCGCGTCCCTGCCTCGCCTGGGCTGATGGGTGCAGAGGATTCTCAGGCTTTGAGGTCATCAAGCAACCGAAGGCTTCACCCCCGGCCATTCTCAACTGCACACCCAAGGGACGAGGTGACCCCCGGCCTGTCACCCTGGCCTGTGCTGAGGCTCCCAGGCCAGGGGGCAGGATACCCCCTGCCCCCAGCAGCACAGCTCTGATTGGGGCAGGTGTGGCACTCCCAGGAGGAAGTTCAAAGACCTCTGGCTGTCCCACAACAACACCCCCCAAGTTCCCAGCCCCTACACCATCAACCACAAGCCCCTGGCCTCTCTGGCAGCTCCAGAGGGCACCCACATCTGCCAGTGGTGTGGATCCTGTCCTGAGAACCCCCAGGCTCAGCCACGGAGGCCCTGGGCAGCTGCACTGAGTCCCGAGGCTGCCTGGGAAGGGAGAGGAGAGAGCCAGCTGGCCCAAGGACAGAAACAGGAAAGAGGGAGTCTGGCGCTGCAGTAGGGAGAGGGAGGGGCCTGGCCCTGAGGTCCCAGGGGTGCCCCCCAGTGTGGGGCTGGTACAGTGGGGCAGATGCTGTCCTGAGGCAGGCAGAGTGGCAGGTACCTACCTTGGCTGACGCTCCTCAGGGGCCACTGAGAGGGATTCTGAAAGACAGCTCGGGAGCCTCCCGGAGTTTTGTCTGCCCAGGAAGACTGAAGAAAGCCCACCTGTGGGCTGTGGTTGGGGTGGGGGAGGGCTGGGGGTAGCTGTGACTGCCACTATGTGGGGGGGGGCATGTAGACAACCTCCCCCCATTGGGTGGGCTCAGAAATCCTCATGGGGGATGGAGGGCATTGGCACCACAGGGGTTGGCAGGTGCTGGCAACCTCATGGGTCGGGGAACAGAGGCACCCTCACAGGTCAGGGGGCATGGGCACCCTCACGGGGTTGGTGGCCACAGCGACCCTCACCAGGTCGGGCGGCAGCCATCCTCACAGGGTCAGGGGCAGCTGCCACCCTTATGGGGTTGGTAGTTCAGGCACACTCATGGGGCTGGGGATGCTGGCACCCTCATGGCTCAGGGGCACTGGCACCCTCATGGCTCAGGGGGTACTGGCACCACATGTCAGGGCCCCTGCACCCTCAAGGGATCGTGTGGTATAGTGAGAAGGCCATGCCAAGATGGCCGCTGGCAAGAAAGTGTCAGTTACTCAGGAATTGCTTCAGAAACTCCCTGGGAAACCACCTGGCAATGGAGCCTGCCTGGCAACTGGCTGTGATTAGTCAGGGCATAAACTGCCCCTTGACAAGATTGGTTGTCTCGGCTATATAAGCTGCTGCACCAACTGAAATAGACAAGTCTGCTGTCTGCTCACCTCTGGCCTGCTTTCACCCAACTCCCGGCATCTGTGTGGTGACTCTGCACCTCTTGCCACCACCACGCTCCTCCTCTCAGAATGAATCCACAGCAACATCTGGCACCAACGTGACTGAGAGAGAGACAGTGTGTCGGACTTGGCAAGGTCCCCCCTTGATTTTGGCAAGAAGGCCCTTAGGTGTTTTGTGTGCTGTTCAGTTCTGTGAGGGTGGGCACAGAACCCCCTCCTACGCACCTTTCCTTGACCTTGTCCTTGGTCTAAGTGACCCCAGGTTAAGCACACACCGCCCAGAAACCTAATGCCGCTTCTCAGTTCCTCCTTTTACTTTCCGTTCACCTGGCGAATTCACATAAAGGACTGATCATCCCAGAATTTGGAACCAAGTCATCTACCCTCCCTTGAGAGAGTTGATGCTCTGGAGACACTGTGTGGGCATATGGCCTTGACCTAATGAGTCAAGGAAGTCCCCCTCTAAGCACAGGACAAACATACGACCTGATACACCACTGTCTGTCTGTCTAACATAGGGAACTCCTGCATAATGCCATCAACCACCGAGGTGCTAGGAATTTGTTTTGTTATGGCAGCAGTGCTGTGCATGTCTTCCCTTTGGCTAGAGTTGGCATGCCGTGCTGCTCTAAAGCGCTCAAACATGGGAAAGATACCCCCTCTCAGAAACCCACACAGAGTACCAAACATAATGAATCGGTGAGTGATAAGAGCCTGTCACTCCAGGTCCCTGTCTCACAGACATCAGTTGATGACTTAGGGAGAGAGAGCTCTGACAGTGAAAATGACATGACAGCAGACAATGCAGCAATGCCTGGTCAGCCACCCCCCAAATATCCATGGGATGAACTTAGACAACCTTGAGGCGATAACCCATGTGAGGTCATTCCATCTGCACCCAGTGAGGATCCCCATGTTTGTGGCAGTCCCCAGGTACCCCAGGCTCTCAGAGCAGCTGCTAGACCCCATTCCACCTGCTTGTTTGCCCTAAATGTAGGAGTAGATGTGGAATTCAGGCCCTGGATTCCAACACCCATAGAAAGGCTTTTGCTGACCAAGGGTCGAGGATATGCTTGTGTCTATCCAGAGAATGCGGGACAGCCCATTTGGGTACCAGCCAGAAACATCAAGCCTGCAACTGATAGTCAACCAGAACCAGCTGAACAAGACAGAGTCCACCTTGTTAGTGGACGCACCTGCTACCAATTGTCAAGCTGCTGCCCTATCATCCTACCCTGAGGAACTGCCCATAGCCATATTTGCTACTGTTTTATACCCCACTAGCTCTGGTCAGCCACTCAAATGGCCCACAGCCTGCATGCGGTTACCATTGTTCCTCATTCCTACCCCCATCTGAGCAAGCACTCCTATGGTCTCCCATTTTGAGCACTGGTTAGTCAATGACGGGTAAGATCCCCTGGGGGACAACCTAAGACAGGCACAGCCATGAATGGAGACCACATGGAAATGGGGTCAACAATGGTATGGCCAAGAATCATGCCTCCCATTGCTCAAAAATAAACAAAAAGGGGGCAATGTGGTGGAACAAGAAGGCCATGCCAAGATGGCTGCTGGCAACGGAGCCTTGGATGGCTTCCAAAACCACATGGCAATGGAGCCTGCCTGGCAACGGGCTATTATTGGTTAGGGCATAAACCGCCCCTTGACTGGATTGGCTGCTTCGACTATATAAGCTGCTGTACCAACTGAAATAGACAAGTCTGCGGGCTGCTCGCCTCTCACCCGCTTTCACCCAACTCCTGGGATCTGTGTGGTGACTCCGCACCTCTTGCCCCCACTGTGCTCCTCCTCTCAGAACGAATCCACAGTAACAATTAAGTTCGGGGGGAAGCAGGGGCTGCCTCAGAATGTGGATTAAAACTCGAGATTTGCACTCTGGCCCAGGGGCGCCTCTTTGAGGACAGCCAGGCCTGGATGCAGCTCCAGGAGCCCTGCAGGAACACACCTGCCAGAGAGAAGCTGCAGGGTAGCTCCTGTTAGTTACCTGATAACCCACCCTTGATTAGCTTGAAGGGTCTTACCCTGCTACTTCATTCCCCCATCCAAATTTTATCTTCTCTCCTTTATTCAGAAAGAAACTGCATTCTGCACCTGGATGTTGTTAACCAAGAATGCATACTTAGCTTCCAGTCCAAGCCAGGTCTCCAGGTGCCACTTGGGGGATGCCTGACAAATGAACAGGTATCCACACCACATAAAAGAGATGTTCCAGTTACTGGTGTTACTTCTCTAACGATGAGGTGGTTTGGGCCCCATGTGAATACTCATGAGCTTTGCACACACTGATACATAGACCAGCCCGGAGGTCCCCAAGGCCTGGATCCAGGAAGAGGATTCTCTCTAGTGCTTTGTACTTGGCTAGAGTTGAGGATGCCTGCACTCATTTCTGCCCACTCACACAGCCCCACACCCTGGGTGCCTAAGATCCATTCTCAGGCCTGCCTCACCACCACGGACCAGCATCAGGATATTCTGAGACTCCCCACAAAACCTCTGGAGGCTCTGAGAGTACACAGGGAGGGCAGGATGACTGAGCCAGAAGAGACTTTTGCCTATGGGGGCCTGAGGATGCAGGAAATTGTTTTTTTTCCCCAGGCTATGGATTAATTGAATCTAGGAGTAGAGATGCCCCTTGCAGTTCAGTGACTAGAGAACAGCCTCTCTTTATCCTTTCAAAAGGTCAGCACCTTCAAGACCAGAATGGGCTCATCCTGGCCCCCACTTCACATATGATCTCAGTGACAGCTCCAAGGCCAGCAGTCAGGCCTCTTGGAACCTGTCTGGGGCATGTAGGAAAAGAAGGGGCCTCTTGGGAGAGAACATGATGCC